AATTGGGAAGAGTTAAAACATAAACAAAAAAATACTGTAAAGTGTTTTAACAATATCAAACTGTGCACCTGCAGAATAAATAACCAATATGGACATTTTTACAGTAATGGATATTTGAAAATAGCAGCAACAGCAGAGATGTGCAAAATGACAGCAGCTGACTAACTGACTAAGGTTTCTATCATTACATTTGATTTGATTTGTTCATGCTCCTGGTGGATGGCACCTTTATTACACTCAATAAAAAAGAAATAAATAATCAAACAGTTTTGAAAACTTCGGTTTTCATTCTTTTCCTGCTTTGTGTGTCAACTTTCACGGTTGCTAAGCAACATAGCATACGGCGGTAAAACCTGCAGACCTGTGTGAATTCATAGCCAAAACTCTTCCGGTCTCTTTATTTTCAAGGACTTCGAAGGATCCAGTTTAGGTAGACCGCGTCCTTGGAGGATGCCAAAATGTTTGCTGACTTAAGGGACCAAAAGTACCAAGAGTTCTGTTTTTATTGTATTTAGATGATCAGCTTTTTAATTAAATCTTAAAAAAAAAAAAAAAAAAAAAAAAAAATATATATATATATATATATATATATATATATTAGGTCATTAACATAAAATACAGATCCTTACAGAAAGGCGAAGATATCATCTTATTAATTAAAACTAAAATAAGGATCATCTGTTAAAGGCCTGCCCTCTGCTGGTCAAAGAGCAAAAGTGCAGGTTAGGAAACTGAGAAGCAGCATTATTCACAACAGATATTGATGAAAATTGGTCATTGCTGATTTAAAGTTGAGAACTTGGACCCCTCCTTACTAGGTGGCTTTCTCTCGTGTGAAGCCAAAATGTTTCATAGTCTTTAATTGAAGAAAAAGCCTTAACTATAATGGAGCAACCAATATTACACTTCTTGTTTTGAGGAAAGATTATTTGGTTTGTTATGGCAGGGTTTCACAACCTTTTTTGATTTGTGTACCTCTTTGGGCATTTTGTCGTAATATGAGTACCCCTCTCAGTCCTGAATGTCCAAAGTGGAAGGTACAATAACTGATTATAAAACAAAAAATATTTTACTTCATCTTTTAACCTGAAAATTTAAATATTAGAAATTTTATTTGTTCCACCTCAAATAAGAAAACAGCATAAATATGTTGCCTAGAAGTTTGAAGCAGGCAATCTAAAAAAAAAAAAAGGAAATAAAATCATATTAGACCTGTATTTTTAAAACTTGTAACTCCCCTATCATCACATTTAAACTTGATGAATTTGGAACAAAATTTAGATCAATAATTATAGTCAGAATGACTTCATTAGTTGTTTTCATCAAGACACCTGAGCTGCTTTGATGAGCTCCAATAGCTCAGTGTGAAAAACAGCCGATCCCAGACTGTTCTCTACATCAAGTCTATTTTTCTGCCTCATTTTGGTTTATTCAAACAGAAAAAGAAACATTTTTGGTTGATAAAAACTTGTTTAATTTTTCTATTGGGTCCTAACAAATCAAAATCAATGCCCATTTTATTTTACGACCTAAGAAAGAAAATGTTTTCATAGACCCCTTCCAAGGCACTGGCAGACCACTAGAGGAATCACTGTGTTCAGAATCAGAATCAGAATCAGAAATACTTTAATAATCCCAGAGCGAAATTACTTTGTTTTGCAAACACTGATGTAGGATCCCTTTATGCATCAAAAAATAAAATAAAATAAAATTGAAAAAAAAAAAAATGACAACCTGAACATTTTTTCCAGAAACACTTCAGTAGTAGAAGAAACTGCTAGTTTCAAACAATTAGGTCATCTCCGCTCATCCCCGACTTTAGCTACTTTTTGTTGCTGCTGCTCACCTTTCTTTCCCCTCAGTTTTTCATTCATGTCTGTTCATGTATTTTTTTCCATCATGTCCTCCATCTAATCTTTCTATCCATAGTTTTATTTTTGGTGGTTATATTAGTTAGGTTAAGGGCCCAGCACCATATGCTAAAGCTCCTTTGCTCCTTTGAGTACCGGTTGGCATGTTCTTCCGCACATTAAATTCAATCCCAGTCATGGGCGTAGGTTTGCATAGGGACCATAGGGACATGTCCCTACCAACATTTTGGATCAACCTACTTGTCTCTAATAATCAAATGTGAACATGATTATAATTTACAATACAGCGTTGCTGCATAAGGAGCTATTTAAACAGTCAGACATTAAAGCAACATAGGATGATGTTAACAGGTTGCGTTATATTTAATCATTTACTATTAAAAACGCTCTTGTATAATAGAAACATTATATGATTGTAGGAAACACAGAAATAATTATGCAGGGCAGCCTCATGGTGAAGCAGCTGCCCTTCAGTGCTGCATGATGGAAGAAATGTGTTTGGAAAGTTGCCATAAAATCAGGGCTGCAACTAATGATTATTTTGCAAATGTATTTATCTGTTGATTATTTTTTCAATAAATCGATTAATAATCAGATAGCCAAAGGTCTCTTAAAGAAGATTTTTTACTAAATGAAATCGGGTGAAACTGAAACTTTTCGTCTTGAGGAGTTCTGGATGCAGAATATTGACAGACAAAAACCTTTTTTTTGTCTTAAATGCAAAATGTGTTCATATTTATTACAATTTTGTTATAATTCCTGCTCTAAATGGGTCGCTCTGTCTGCTAAATGCACATTTTAATGGTCCTATACTCCAGTTAATGATTAATCAATTACTAAATTAGTTGACAATTATTTAAATAATCGATTAATTTGATTCATTGTTTCAGGCCTAGATAAAATACATTAAATGGGCTATACAGATTAACTACAGCCTAGATGTACAACTTGTATGGTGAAGTTAATATTTTAAATGCTCAGTGTCAGTTCCTCTTATAGTTCCAGTGCACATGTAAATACAATACATTTATTGCCATCCCTTGAATGTTTTATTTTGCATGATAGAGAGAGAGCATATTAGATTAAAAAATAGGGTTTACCTCTGCACAATTCTATATCTTCAAAAGAAAACACAGTATAAATCCACACATAACAGACATATTTAGACTATATTTGGTGAAATATGCAATGTCGTAGTGATGCTTTAAACATTGATAAACAGCATCTAGTGTGTGTAGTGTTTATAAGATTTGTATTAATATAGCAAGAAACGCTGCTGTTCTCTTTAAACAAAATGCGCCCCGATGCTCACATTAAGCATAAAAAAGATCATGTATATTTTTGCAAAGGAACAATGACATCAGACCAAAGAAATTAAAGACCAATAGTGTCCCTACCAAAGTTGAAATCAAACCTACGCCCTTGCTGGATGCTGATTGGGATTTTAAAATATGTTATATTAAATGAAGCATTAATTTCTGCTTGTTTTGCTCCTACAAATTTAATGATAATATCGCGCATGCTCTCCTCAAGCTCCAAGGATAAGTCGGAGTGCAGCAATATGGGAGGAACAGCGGAGGCTGTAGGCTTTGCTTTGTGCAGGAGGATTTTGAGGAAACGTTTGTTTTAAAAATGTAAGGAAGATAAAATACAGATACTTGTGTGAAAATGTAATGAGAAGACGTGAGAAGAAGACGAAAAATATGTAATGAAGTAAATTATAGAAACCTAAAAAGCATACTTAAGTACAGTAACGAAGTATTGGTACTTCGTTACTTGATACCTCTGCTTGTTAGCTTGCACATATTGCATACAACAATGCCTGTAAATGTCTCTGTCATCAGAAAGGTTAGCAGTTTTATAATATCCCTAATAGTTCACCTCATCACTGACTTTTACAATGTGGCCAGACAGATAAAGTCAGGAAAACATGATTTGTCTTCTTTGCTCCTGATTATCATGGTGTTGCATCATATGCAACATTCAAATATTGTCAACAGTTGCTGCAGGCCAGCACTATATGGACTGAAGACCACAAGGTCATCAGTATACATCAGGTGGTTAATGGTTCTATTCCCAGCATGACAGCCAGTCATTCACTAGCTTAGATAAATGATCCATAGACACATTAAAAAGGAAGGAGACAAAATGCTATTTTTACCCACACAGAAAGATTTTGATATTGATTTTCCCAATCTTATAAACTGGTGAACATACCAATAAACTAAAATTCTTAAGTATTTCAGAACACCAACATAGAAATTTATTATATTGGAGTTTTTCATATTGAAGTTGGGGGCCTGCCGATACAGACCTATGGACTGGAGGGGTCAGCATTCACATAAACTTATTTTTTATTGTTTCTTTTCATTTCTAACTTTATTTTAGATACTGTCATTTTGAGATCTCTATAAATACTTAACAAAGAAGAGCAACAGAATAAAATAAAAATTCAAACTTACTCAAATGGTGCTGTACCTATATAGCGCTTTTTAAGTCAGAAGACTTGACCAAAGCGCTACACAGCACATTCAGTCATTCACCCTTTCACGCACACACTCACACACTGATCAGTTTAACAATGGAACACCTCATAATAACATTTACTCCAAAATAAATTAAATGTTGCAGAAAAGGGTCATTAAATGTTACTTTTTTATCGGGGCGAACTGGTCTTTGCTGTATGCAGTGACTCTGCAGTGACTCTTCCAATATATATATATATATATATATATATATATATATATATATATATATATATATATATATTCTG